TGTGTAATAACCAATCAATTACAACCTCAAAAACACAAAATCGTCCCCTAGAGGCCAATTTCTTTCAAAACTCTTACAGACCTCTAGGACCATGAGTCGAATATGCCCACGAGTTTCGTTCCAATCACTCATCGTTAACCTAGTTTAATGGCTGCTCAATATTTATTAGCTAATGGCAGCCATGTTTTTTGAGATATGCCAATGTATGTTATGACAACTTGGTCAAAGACACTGCATGCCAAATTTCAAGCTGATTTTACCAATGATTTTACCAATGAGCAGGCCAATCATATGATATGTATTTTGTGTGGCTGTGTAAAAATTTATCTTAAATCTTAAATTTTTTAAGATTAAAGTCAATTTATGGTTTTTAAACTCTAAAGCGCCAACATGTGGCCAAAGTCTGCACGTTTGGCACTGTGACCTCAAATTGACCTTACACAAGTTTGTATCATATTTGGTGATAATAACTTATTCTGTTCAAAAGTTATAGCTACAATAAGCATTTAGCTTCAATTAACATTGAACATTTTTGCCTACTGTTTCGTGCAGGAATCAAAATGTCAAATTTTTTTTTTATAATTATTGATATTCAGTGTCCAAAGAACATTTCACAGCTGTTTTGGTTCAGATTGGGCAAAAATACTAGGACTAGTTCCCAAAAGTAGGTTTTGGACAAATCGCGATGTAGCATAAAAACTTTCCAACGTACGGAAAAAAAAAAATCGGGGAGTGACTTTTGTTTGGGCTGACCCAGGGATTACAAATATGTAGGTTTTATGAGTCTACGACAAACGGTGTACAAATGGCGGCCGAAAATGTCCAAAATATTGTTTTTTGGCGCCATAGCGCCACCTATGGTCCGATTTGGCTGATTTTTGTTGAGCTTGTAGTGTTCCGGAGTACAACTATCTGACCAAGTTTCAGCTCTCTAGGCCTTACGGTTTAGTCTGTGCAATAGTAACTTTGGCAGAAAAAAAACAAAATAATAAGAAGAGCAAAAATGAACAAAAACAATAGGGTTTCAGCGCTTCGTGCTCAAACCCCTAAAAATTAACAAAAACAATAGGGTTTCAGCGTTTCGCGCTTAAACCCCTAAAAAAATCTTAACAAAAACAATATGGTTTCAGCATTTCGCCCTTGAACTCTTTCAATTTTCTTGAACCCTAGAATTTTCTATAGTCATTAAAAATGCCAGGAGTAGGGGTCTGACCAGTCTCTAGGGGTCTGGACTCCAAGGACTACCCAAACATTCTGCTTAAACATGTGCACCTAATGGTTCAAACATTGTATCCTCGCATGTAATCAGGATACTAATGCACCAATACATATGGCAAGACTGGTGAGAGTGGTTTGATAAACATAAGTCAAGTTAAACATCTCCCATGGTCTGCACAATCACCAGATCTAAATATTAAAGAGCCCATATTACACATGAAATGGGGTCATATCTTGGTTGTAAGGGTCTCCAACAACAGTTTAATATGCATGCAAGGTCAAACAACACTTTCATGGTCTTATAATCTGCATTTATTTTTACCTAGTTATCCCAGCGACTCCTGTATGAATCGTCCAGTGATTCATTTGTTCCCAAACCCCTCCTTAGCGCGAAGCTAATCTGCGCTGATTGGACCAATGACAGTCTGTTGCGATTGGTCGACTGCCTTCAGTCAGAGAGTGAAATGCCAAACAGCTAATCAGCAATATAAAAGTAATCACAGTTCATACACGCTCGATAGTGTAGGCGTGGATTTTAGCAGCCAGTGGGTCAATGTAAATACAGACTATGGACTTGAAAATACAGACGACTAACTATTTTATTGAGCAAAAACTCCAAAAACAGTTGAGGAGATCTCCTAGCTTCTCACTCTGCTCTTTTCACAGACACACACACACACACACACACACACACACACACACACACACACACACACACACACACACACACACACACGCACGCACGCACTTAACCCTGCTCCGCGCGCACGCACGCACGCACGCACGCACGCACGCACGCACGCACGCACGCACGCACGCACACACCTCCGGACGACAGCGCACGCGCGCACACGCACACACAGACACACATACTACTCCTCGTCCACGGAGCTCCGTTAACAAAGCAGCACGCGTCGCGTTTTTAACGTGACTTTGCAAGCGATAAGACAATATAGCCAGTTAACCTGATACCAGTACACGCGGTTACAAGTAACAAATCACAACTAAATACATTTGCAAGCTAGAGTCAACGAAGCAACTTTAATCGCACGTACTTACACTTGAGAAATGGAGGAAGAAAAATCCATCCTGACATCCAGCAGTAAGTTACTCTTTACTGATCCTTCCTTTAACAAACGCTGATGAAGTATTCTTTGTAGCATGTAGTTTCCAGAAGTTTCCAGTAGTTTCCAACTGCTTGGCTATAATGCTGATGTTTCTGCTTTGGGTAGAGACTCAATATATCCATCTGCAGTGTGACTTCAATCGACCGGCATGTTTGTGTGTGTGTGTGTCTGGGTTTCTGCGTCAGAGGGCGGGGCCTAAGGTTTGAAATCTCCCGGGTTTGCGCGTGCACGTGAAAAACTTGGTTTCGTTCGTATGTCATGGCGAAACACCTAATGAATCGGTATCAAGGCGACTCGTTTGAAGCACTATGAGTAGACTCTTTTATAGATGAATCAACAGTTTTAAACACTGTACACTAACAGATTTAAGCCTTAGCTGGATACTTCACTTCACTTAGAGCTGTGTCACACACTACATGGAGGGGAATTTTCAAAAACCCATAATATGGGCTCTTTAATAATGCACTTTGGGGTGTTTTGACAGAGTGAATCAGGAAAAATTTTCCTCCACCAACATCACCAACATTAGCTTATCTGGATTTGGAAAGGACAGTGAAGGTGGACTCAGAGAACAATACATGTTTCACATAGTCCAAAACCCAATATTTTTGCTGCAGGCAGCATTGAAACCAGTATTTGGCTTTGGCATGAGTCATGGTTATCTACAGCAGTCTAGCCATGTATATTGACCCTGTAGAGCTCCTGATGAACGGTATTGGTGAAAACAGGAGAGTTGAGTTGCACATTTAATTATGCAGCGAGTTGAACAGCTGTGGTTTGTTATTTGGATACAATCCGGGTTAGCACCTGACTTCCGTTTCAAACAGCTTCCTCTTCTGCCCTCAGTTACTTCTGTTGGATGTGCTCTTACTGATGGAATGTGCAATCAATGAAGATTGGCCATCAGGATAAGAAAGGTTTGCCATGAAACCTACATTAAATTGGCCAGTGTTTCAGTTCCTTTGTCCAGCCCCTCAATATTTATTCTAGAATCTATATTCCATGGTATATCACTATTATAATATTATATTATAGTTTAATGGTACACTGGAGTCATGGTTCAGTATGCACCTTGGCGTTGGGTGCTTTACAGTACAAATGAAATAACATGTCTCCAGTACCTGATTTTTCTGTTTTTTTTAACAGACAGAAGTGTTCTACAGAACTGAAGAGCTTCTTGTGATGCAAAAGTACAAAATAAACAAGAATGAAAAATAAAACTTTAAAATTAGGAAACGGTGTATTAAACTTTCAAAGATTAAGGTCTGCCCTCTCTTAAAACAACAGAAAAACAATAATTGTGTACTAAATTTAAGATTCAGAAAGCTTCAAAACTGAAATCTCTTTTTATGTAAATGCTAGAACTGTCCATCCATAACAGCAGGTGCAGCAGGAAAAAAAAAACTGTTCAATAAGGTGTATGTGTGTAGAGAAGGTCACTCATTTACAGACTGACTTGTGTATTTACAAGATGAAATAGTATCTTATATTTCCATTGTTTGATAGATGTGCATGACCGTTATATACTTGCGTCTTTTGCAGCAGTTTTTTTAGATGCTCTGTGAAGATAGAAATATTTCTACTTTGAGGTTGCAAGTCGGCATGACAACTGAACCACTCCTGAGCACTGCATCTCACATTTTAGGAAAAAGATATGTGTGTTTTGTGAATGGTTCCTCAGTTGTTGCACCGCTGTGGTCTTTTCTGTCTCCTTTCAGTGACTGCACACCTAAGGTGTATTCTTCATATATGAATTACTCAAATAGCTGGATTTGGTAATTGACTATTTGACAGGATGCATGATTGTTTTTCTTCAAAACACATTCGAGAGTTGTCATAGCAACAAGTATCGTAGGCCAAACATGCTCTGGAGCAGGCTTATTGCATATAAACAGGATTGTGTCATTTGAATCAAAGGTGAGACAACGTATGTACCGAATACTGATATTTTCTTACAGTAGTAATAATTATATATATATATATATATATATATATATATATATATATATATATATATATATATATATATATATATATATATAAACTGCAACTACGTTATTTTTATTAAAGCGTTCAATATTTAAAATTAAATATTTAAATTTGTCAATAGTGGTGAATCCGTTCAGTAAAAGATTTGTCAGTGTGTCACTGCATCATAAAACGACCTCAACCATGTCTAGTGCGAGTACATGCTTATGTTAGTTTCGTTGTCAATGATACTAGAAATTAATGCACTTTTCGTCAGTCGTTGTTGCTTCTTTATATAATCTTACTAACTTTTCATTTAAAAGAAAAAAAATTTCTTGGGGTGGGAATGATTACATCTAAAGTCTAAATTACAGATGTCATAAATCAGACCTCTAGCATTACTCAAGATAACGATTATTCGTTTCATTTAAATGATGATCGATCATGGGACATGTAGAAATTGACATCTCTAGTTCAGAGGCAGAAATGGCTGATGTTTGTTACATGAGGTATGTCTACAAATGCATGTTAATGGACTTTTACTCATATTTCAAAAATGAAGTGCATTAGCGTTTAATGTGCATGCTGGTTTTTCAAGACCCCTAAAATAATATGAAAACAGGGAAATGGAAGAAGGCCCCTCACCCAACAAACATCAGCGGTGGTCAACACCCTTGCCACTGCAGTGATCAAGACTAAAAATGCCAAATCAGTTTACCTCAATTTCTTCCAAGATGTCACCAAGTTCAGCTTGCTGAGACAGACGAGCTGCAGTCTGCAGTGCCAGAATGATTCTGTCAGAAGAGAAAATTAGTTATGTCTCAAAAAACGTATAAAAAAAAAAAAAGAAATTGTAGAAAATATACATACGCTAAGACATTGTCTTCTTTGGAGATACGAGATTTAAGGGCACTGACTACTTCCTGTGAGGCCAGAGGTAATCCAAGAGAGCTGAGAGCACTCACAGAGTGATGGATCTGAGAGACAGTGGAGTCCTCACTCACTGTGGCCAACAACAAATCACGCGTGTCATTTGACACAAGAATCTGTCAGGATCAAAATACCGCAAAAAAAGTTACCACAAGACATTATACATTAAGAGCATTTCACTTGGTATCATTAGTGAAAAGTCCATGCCAGTCCTGTTGTCCAAGCACAAGATACATTCACACAACTAAAAGCATCACAGAATTTTTTTTCACAGTATTAAGTATGAATAAAGCATCATGACTATTATTAATAACAAGTATTATTGATAGCATTATTATGTCTAAGATACTTGACTATATTATGAAAAGGTTTACTTTGGGCTTTTATTAAAAACAAAACCCACAAACATGAAGCTAATCAAAAATGATAAACAAAGAAGTTCACTATACTGTATCTATTGTCCTTAGCTATAGTGATTCAAGCTAGCCTTATTGTGCTTTGATGAACACACAAGCATAAAAAGTACCAAACGTCCTTAACAACAATTTCTTTGTCTTTAACAATTTTAAAGTGTCAATGTTTCAAGGGTTAAATGCACTTTTAATGGAGAAACATTTATCCTCATTTAGGTTTCAAAAATTAAGGACCTGGGAATCCTATACACAGATGGCTCATACACTCAAGCTGTAAAACGTCAACACAAATATTTGTTAACAAGCAGGAAAAAAAAGGAAAGAGGTTATGTATCTTACCTCACATCCAGTAAGAGCTTGGCTAGATTCTGCTGCATAAAACAGTGACTCGACACTAGAGGGGTCAAGGTTTGACTTGATAAATCTGCATGTCTCCTAAAACAAAGAAGAAATACAAAACTTGATGTGAATATTCACAAAAATTAAAGTAAACCTTTTACTAAACACAACAGATTGTCAATTCTTACATCTGCATCTGCAACAAAGATCCCCAGCTTCCTAAGTCCAACAACAGAGTAATAGGCAGACTTGAGATCAGTGAGGGGCTGGCTCAATACAGCCTGCAGTCTGGCCACATCAGTGGTGGTCAGATGATGGGATGGGGTTAGAGTCTGGGTCTCAATAACCAAGGACAGGACCAACACGCTGAACACACCTACAAATATATAACATAAATTTAATGCAGTTCATATGATAGATCAGAATTTTTTTTTTATCAAAAACCAATTAAGCGGATATTTAAAGGATAAGTTATGCTTTGCGCTGTGAGACATGAGTTCAGGAATTTATGCCTTATTTACACTAGCAGCGACTTTGTAGCTTCCTGTTGCTCTAGGCGGCAACCTGCTTCAAATACAGGTCTGTGTAGTTCTATACAGCACAATTACAACCAGTCTTTGAGCGAGCTGAGAGAGAATCACATGAGCTCTATTGGTGCTCCTATTGGCTGTCGCTCAAGAAAGTCACTCTTCATTTGCTTAAAGTAACCAATGGTCGCTCACTAACTTAGACGGAGGTCGTCGAAAGTTGTTACTCTCCATTGCAAACAAACAGTGGCTTGTCCATAGTGTAAATGAGGCTTTATGGATTCACTCTCTTGACATTGCATATTGGGGGCTCATAAAACCCTGTTATGGCGGACCTTCTTGGCTATATCCAAGGGTACTGCCGATAATCCGCGGGTTAGTTAATCAAAAATAGGATGCATGATTTATTTATTATGGGAGAAAATCATTTGCTATGCAAACCTTATCTACATAAGCTATCTTGGGAGACTGGCACGAATATGCAGACTTTTAAAAAAAAATTTCCCTCACAGCTAGACATTTCCAGAGCATGTCCATTTTCACCATGACTTTCTGAGTTCTCTAATCCTTCTGACAGAGTTTGTTCTTCCGAGGAAACCTGGGAACACATTCAGTGTTGTGAATATTTTGTAAAGCCCGTCCTGCTCATTATGGTCAAATGACTTGATTAAACAAATGAAAGTGAAACTAATCGGCGCAATGAACTGTCATTAAAAATTAAAACAGTTTAATATAGGCGACTAGAACTTTATTTATATTACTTTTATTGTTTAACAAACCAGTGTGTTATCGGACTTGTTTTGAAGCACTTAAACTCTGATGTTATTCATTCTACTTCTAGTTTATTTTGTAGATAACTGACCAACAAAAACACATTAAGATCAACATATGATACATAAATAATCCACAGATAAGAATAGTGAGAAAACGTTTTTTTCTCAGTGTTGCAACTTGTTGGCAAGTGCAGTCACACACAGTGCTGCAGCAGCAAAGGCCACCATTTCATTAAAATAAAACATTGCGCTTTACGCAATATCCACCAGGTGGCGCAAGGAACAATCGCTTTTCCATTGTCGGGCCAGTGCAAGTATTCTCCTTGATGTTTCAATAACGCATACTAATCTTTACACTACATTAAAGACACAGCAGCCAGTAACTTTTAGTTGTTGAGTTTGTCACATTTAAAAGGCGTGTTTGAAACATGCATGTTTAGATGCATTTATTTGTGTGAGAGAGACCAGGCGAAAGAGCTCTCGTTGATGCTTCGTTGATGCTGTGAGTGGCTGGGTTTCATTTTTCCTATTTTAAAGATAATTAATATATTTTTGTATTCACATATGAATACAACAAAAAGACATAAAACTTTACAGAGTACGTATCCACTTTTGTAGGCTCAACACAATTTCATTAATCTAGATAAAATAGCCTATAAGCTATATCGAAATAATTTAAAGAACTAATTAAATCAAGTCTTGAAATCTACATAAAGTAAAAAATAGTGGTAATACTATTGCTCAAGTTTATATGTACATGCGAGTGTAGGTGTGTCTGTCATCCACATGCTCTATTAATGTTGTATATGCAGTTTTACATCCACAAACGAATGGCTTTCGACCTGAGTTTATGAATTTAAGATTTGCACAAACAAAACATCTTTGTGAAAAAAAAGAAAATTATGTTTTGCAGTCATGCATCTTAATTTATGTGTGCGAAAAAGAAGTGTGTGTGTGTGTGTGTGTGTGTGTGCATGTGTGTGAATTTACTTGTTTGAATCTATACTGTCAGCTTTGTTTGAACTTTAAGACTTTCTTTACACCATTTTTAAGCTTTTCAGGAATAAACACAAACAACTTTACACGGAAAAGCCATAATGTTCTTATCCAATATAGATAGATGTAGGAAATGTGCTAATTCGTATCTTTCTTATTTTATTAAAAAAACATGCAAACATACTGTGTCGTATTAGCGACAACATGTTTGAAAATAAAATACTGTATTTTTAAAAATACTGCAAAATACTTTACATGGGAGTATAAAATTTCTTCACTAGCCATCTATCAAAAGGCAAATTCGATAGATATTAGTGAAGTAAACAATGACTGACAGCAACAGCGTTTCACGAAGCAAGTTTAAATCAGCTTCTCTGCCAGGTCATTAACCTCTACTCCTGTACAAATATTTGTTTCTCTTTCATTTTAGTACACATTTTATACACATTTCATACAAAGGTCCAGTCTTGAAAATGTTCTCTTTATTTAAATTAAGATGCATAAATGCAAAACATATTAGTTTTCATGAAAATGTTTATGTTTTCACAAATCTTAAATTCATACTCAGGTGAAAGCCATTCGTTTGTGGATGTAAAACTGTATATACAACATTAATAGAGCACGTGGATGAGAGCGTGAATTTGCAAATAATATTGATATTAATTTCATCCCTTATCTATGTATGTCAGGGCTCGAAATTGCGACCATTTTGGTCGCATTTGCGCCCGAAATTTCATCAATGCGACCTCATAATATATTTGGGAGCATTTCTGCGACTGAATATAATGGTTGTAGTGAAATGATTTTTTCTAAAAACGTGCTAAATCGGTCTTCCTTGCCGTTCATATTAGCTGTCAATCATTTAAGTCTTTCCGCTGTTAGATGACAGGGAGCTGTTGTTACTGCGGGAAATACAAACACCTGAAGAGTGAAAAGTACTCAGATTTGCAAACCCCACCGAAAGTTACAACGTAACGGCGCCAATGACAGCGATCATGACATGTGGTGAAGGTTGATCTGTCAGCCAAGATCATTCGAGTGTTTTCAGAGGAGGTGCCCGAATCTCGATGCGTTGCATTCACTAGGTGTTCAGCGAAAATTTCCGCTAGAAATGTTAAATCTAACACTGTACACGTCATCGCCAAAGAGGCTCGCTTTAAACTTAAATCTTAAATGGAATCTGCGACTCATAACAAAGAGGGGTATTGCTGCATGCTCATAAATTGATGCGGCTGACTCGTCTGCTTTCCACAAACACAGGAAAATGAAAATCGGTAATCGGTAAAAATAATAAATATAAATAATATAAACATAAAAACAAAATAAATATTTCTTACTGCAATGCTTTAATTTAGTTTGATGCAAACCATATTTTTCATAAAGTAACAGACTTTTTTTAGCAGATAACTCGCATTCATGCACATTCAAGGCAGCATCATATTAAGAAATGTAATTTATTGTTAGTATTATTGTCATTTTTGTCATCAATATTTAATAATTATTAGACATGCATTTTGGATTTATTGCATGCAAATATCAATAAGTCATCACAGCATTAGTTAGATAGTTGTTTCTGGTTTTTGTAAGTCCTAATTTATGTTGTTTTCAAATACAATAAATCCTTTAAAATACAATTTGCAATGGTGCTCATTTATTTTTGCTGGGTGCTCCTAAATTTTTTCTGGTGCTCCTAAATATTTTAAGTTGGGAGCACCGCCGCTACCAAGTGAAAAATTTAATTTCGAGCCCTGTATGTTAATGTGGGTGTTTATGTATAAGTGTGTACAGGTATGTTTGCATGCAGCAAGTTTGTGTATGTGCATGTGTTAATGTGAGTGTTTATGCAAAGATCGAGTTTATATGTACTTTATGTGCATGTATTTATATGCATGTATGTGGGTGTATGCATGCATCAAGTTTATATGTATATACACATGTTTCATATATTATTTTAAACATCAAATAGTATGTGTATATGCGAGTAATTTATAGGTTTATATGAACGTGTTTTTGTAAGTGTTGATAAGTGAAGTTGATTTAAATACTACATGGCGCCTCATACAGAAACTGTGAAGCGCACAGCTACTAGCCGCATTTCCACTATCGGGCCAGGCCGGGCCAATCGCCCGGGAGGTTGAGCAGTGAGGCCGAAATCATGTCACGTTTCTACTGTCGGGCTGGTCACGCAAACCCCATCCCCAGAACATCCCCCGAATAGAACATCACTCAACCCGCCCACTTCAGCGGGAATCAGGCAGATAAAGCACACCACATTATCACGAAACAATTAAAATTATGACAACCAAAACAAACAAATGACACGTTACTGTACAGCAGTACAATGTATGTCTATACGCACATGCCTGTGTTCTCATTCATCATATTCATTCACTCGCCGACCGACTGTTGGCATCGAAATCCAGTGGTCTTGCCACCATCGGAGGGACCCAGCGCAGGGAGCGCAAACATCCATAATATAAAACCACATATATAAAATTCTCTGTTAATAACTCGATATAAAATGTATTTTATAACATCCTCAGTTAGACAGACACTGTCCAACATTCATCCCAAATTTTTTATATTAACAGATGTGTGTGTGTTGAGCATCAGTTAAAACAATGTTAGCACCTGTCAGGTTTATTGTGGGGAAAACTGGATAATTTTGAGCTTTTGTCAGCTAATTTCAGCTTCCCGGTTTAAAATAATTTTTGGGGCGGGATCAAAATCGGCGACGTAGCGCAGCACTGCAAGTGCAATGATGACGCGTCGGTTTCTCATTATTATTCATAGCGGAGTTTTCTTATCCTATGAGAAGAGCCGGCTGCTTAATTATTCATGAGACCTGCCAGACCTGCCAGTGTCAAGCCCGAGCTGAGAGACACGGAAACCACGGCACAGCATTTAGCCGTTCATGACGGCTCATATGCGTTTGTTTCCATCATCCACAGGGTTTGTTGCATGTTTTCCCCCGCGATCTTGTCAGGGCCGATCATACAGCAAAGCTGTGTGCGTGCTGCTAGCATTTTTGTCGGGAGAGCAGCACAAGAATTAGAGAATGGCGGACGCTTATCAGGAGT